CCCCCCCCCTCCCGGGTCCCCCCCCCCAAACACACCTAGCAACGACTCCGAGGACGACGAGGATTCCTGGTCCCTGGACCATGAGATCAACGACGCCCATACCAACTGGGTCCGCGACGTGGCCTTCTCCCAGCGGCTGATCCCCACCGCCTCCGGGTCCGACGCCCTGAGCCTGGTCCTGGCGTCCTGCTCGCAGGACCGCACCGTGGTCATCCACTCGCGCCCGGTGGCGTCGCTCGCCGCGGCGGCCGGCGCCACCCCGGTGGCCACCTGGACCAACGTCCGCCTCCCGGGGCCGCGCGCGACCGCCACCGCGGACGCCACCGACGCCACCCCCCCCAAGGAGGGCCTCTGGCCGGCGGCCGTCTGGCGCGTCAGCTGGAGCCCCTCCGGCGTGATCCTGGCCGTGTCCGACGCCACCGGCGGGGTCACCCTCTGGAGCCCGACCGCCGGGGAGTCCTCCATCGCTGGTCTCGTGTGGGAGGAGATCGCCCAGTAGTGCGCGCGCGCGCGTACCTCCGTCAGCGGGTGTGGGTGCGCGTGCGTACGCGCGCACATGGGCGAGTGTGTCCATGCGCGCACGTCCGCCCCTGCTCCTGTTCGGGTCATGGTGTTGGCCGGCGCGTCCACCCCCCCCTCCCCCCCCCCCCTTTCCCTCTCCCCCTTTCTGTGGCTGGCGCTCGCCTCCCCGCACGTCGACAGGGGCCGCGCAATTTACGCCAACATATGTCCCCACAAGAGCCATGCACGCGAAGCCTCCGCTGCCTTTCCCTTCAAATATACATTCACAACATGCAGACCACGCTGCGGGGCCTCTCCACCGCCCGAGCACCCCATGGCCACGCGCGTGCCCATGGCAGGACGGCCGACGGGGCGCCAACACCCGAGGGGACGGTAAGCGGAGCGGGCCGGCCCCCGGGGTCCTCATGCGTCTGGGGGGGCGGGCGGCCGCCGGCGGTCCTCACTGCGCCGGCGGCGTCTTGGCCGGGGCCGGGGCCGGCATCAGGACCTCCGGGCAGACGGAGCTGCTCTGGCCCTTGTCGCGCAGGCGGCGGCAGCACGCGTGCAGGTTCTCCAATGCCTTCTGGCAGGCCTGCTTCCCCACCTCCGGGTCCCGCTCGAAGGCATACTTCTCAATGCAGTTCTGCAGGTTGCAGGCGAAGCGCTGGCAGGGCGGGGTAGACATGGCGGGG